AAGGTTTCCTTTCCCCCATATCCTTGACAGCAATTATTGTTACTTGTATTTTTATTGATCACCCTTCTGACTGGAGTGTGATGGAATCCCAATGTAGTTTTAACTTTCATTTCCCTGATGGTTAAATGTTTGAATAGATTTTCATATATTAGAAGGCCATTTGTACTTTTTGTTATGAGAAGGATATGTTTAGTTCAATTGCCCATTAATGGAATGGGTTATTTTCTTTCTGGTGTTGAGTATTTTTAGTTCTTTATATAGTCTAGATATCCTGCATCAGAAAAGTAGTAGCTTGCAAAGATTTTCTCCCATTCTGTGAGTTCTCTTTTCATGCTTTTGTTTCCTTTGCTGTGCAGAAGCTTTTTTTAGTTTGATACCATCCTTTTTGTTGAGTCTTTGTATTATTTCCTGAGTTTTAGGAGTCCCAGGGAGAAAGTCATTATTTACCCCTATAGGTTGGAACTTTCCCCTGTATTCTGTTCTAGAAGTTGCTCATGTTCTGGTCTTATTCCTAGCTATTTAACCATTTTCAGTTGACTTTTGTGCAGTTTGAGAGATATGGATTAAGTTTCAATTGTTTGCATGTGGATATCCAGTTTCCCCAGCACCATTTAAAAGATTGTCTTTTCTTTAATGTTTTGGGCACCTTTGTCAAGAATCAGATAAATGTAGCTGTGTGGGTTTGTTTCTACGTCTCCCATTCTCCTCCATTGCTTGGTGTGTCTATTTTGATGCCAGTATCAAGCTGTTTTTATTACTGTAATTATCAATTTAAAACTTGAAATCAATATTATAATGCCTCTAGCTTTATTGTTTTTCCTCATAATTGCTTTGGCAATGTTGGATCTTTTGTTCTTCCATATGAATTAGAATTTTTTTTTCTTAGTTTGGGGAAGATTATCATTGGAGTTTTGATGGGATTACCTAGAATCTGTAGATATTTTTGTTTGTATGGCTGTTTTGACAAAATCAGTTCTTCATAGTCATAAACATTGAAGGTGTTTTTCAAATTTTTTGTGTTTGATTTGTTTCCTCAGTTTTMTGTAATTTTCATTGATGAAGGCTTTCATGTTTTTGGTTAGTCTTATTCTTAAGTATGTTCTTTTTAAAAAAATGTGTTAGTGCACAATATTGGGTTCATTTGACATAGTTAAAAGAGCAATATAATTGGCTCCAACACAGTCTCTCACACTTCCTCTTTCCCAACCATCCTCCCTCCCCCTGTTCCCTTTCCTGTTCTTCTACTGGTCTTTCTTCTATTTATTTATAGTTTTTCTTTTTCATTAGTGCATTGTAGATATACATAAAGGTGAAATTCACTGTGAATTCATATATGTACATAAGATAGTTTGGTCAGTCTCATTCTACCATTCTTCCCTTCCCTTATGCCTCCTCTCTCCCTCTCAAAACCTCTTCCTCTACTTCACTGATTTCTTTCCTATTTTCATGTGATGTTCTTTCCCTTTATTTCCTCCTTATTTTTGTTTAGCTTCTGCATATGAGAGAAAACATTCAACTCTTAATCTTCTAGGCCTGGCTCATTTCATTTAGCAAGATGTTTTCCAGCTGCATCCATTTACCACAAAACACCATAATTTCATTCCTCTTATTGGCTAAGTAAAACTCCACTATATATATACCACATTTTATTTATCCATTCATCTTTTTTTTATACTTTTATTGTATTTATTTGTTTTTATGTGGTGCCGCAGATCGAACCCAGTGCTTTATGTGTGCTAGGCAAGYACTCTACCACTGAGTTACACCCCCAGCCCCTCTATTCATCTTTGATGGGCACCTAGGTTGGTTCCAYAGGTTAGTTTTTTTAATGAAAAATATGTTTGTATTATTTAAATGTCTTTAAAATAATGGCACGTTTGAATAAAATGTTAACAATATAAAATTTAATACATGAAGTAGTAAATTGTATGAGATAAGAACAAAGACTAAGAAATATACGTAAAGAGAAGAGTTCTTAGATTCTTTTTCATCCTCTTTTTCTTTTTTTAAATTTATGAACATGGGAAAGTTATGAAGTAGGTTATTGTGAATTGCATTACTATTAAAAATGGTTGCATCTCTAATATTCAATGGTTCCATCCCTATAGAATACAAGATAAAACTAATTCCAAAATCAGTGGAAAACAGGAAATAATTAAAATCAGAGCCAAAATTAATGAATCTGAAAATTTAACAAAAGGATCAATGCAGCAAAGAATTGGTTCTTTAAATAAAAAGATAAGCAAGATTGATAAACATTTAGCCAAACTAACCAAGAGAAAATGAGAGAAAACCCAAATTAACAAAAGATAGTATCACCATAGTCACTACTGAAATTCAGTGGATCATAAAAATCTATCTGAAAATTTATACTCCAGTAAACTAGACACTCATGGATAATTACAGATACCTAGAGACATATGACCTAATTAAATCATGAGAATATAGAAAACATAAAGTGCAATGAAATTGAAGCAGCTATTAAAAGTCTCCAAACAAAAAAAAGCCCAGGACCAGATGGATTCTCAGTTGAGTTCTACCAGCACTTTAACAAAGAACCAATGTCAATCCTTCTCAAATTACTCCATGAAATAGAAAAGAAGAGAACACTGCCAAATTCATTGTCCGAAAACATTATCACCCTGATATCAAAACGAGACAAAGACACATGAAGTCAAGAGAGTTTTTGTCCAATATCACTGATCATATAAAAAAAATCTTCATAAAATATTGACAAACCACATTTAAAAACACATTAAGAAGATAGTATTACCATAATAAGTGGGTTTAATCCCAGGGATGCAATGTTGGTTCAACATACACAAATCTATAAATGTACACCACATAAACAAAGTTAAAGACAAAAATCACACAATTAACTCAATAAATGCAGAAAAGCACTTGACAAAGTCCAGCACCCATTCATGTTTAAAACACTAGAGAAACTAGGGAGAGAAGGAACTTATTTCTGCATCGTAAAAATGACTTATGACAAACCCAAGGCCGACATCACACTTAGTCAAGAAAAACTGAAAGCATTTCCTCTAAAAACAGGAATAAGACAAGGATGCCCACTCTTGCCACTCCTTCTCTACATAGTCCTTGATACTCTAGCCCTAGAGTATCAGATAAGAGAAGGAAATTGAAGCAATGCCAATAGAAAAAGAAGAAGTAAAATGATCTCTGTTTGCTGATGACATGATCCTATATTTAGAAGGCACCAGCCCCTCTCACAAAGAAACCTCCACCATAAGACTTCTAGAACTTATAAACAAATTTAACAAAGTACAGGCTACAAGATCAACATAAATAAAGTGATTGCTTTCCTATGCTGCAATAACAAATCTGCTGAAACTGAAATTAGGAAAACTATCGCATTCATAACAACCTCAAAAAAAAATTTTGCAATTGTACTAGACAGCAGAGCCTGCTTTTCTGAAACTCACTGGGAAATCTACAGATTGCTGGAGGAGAATGGCTTGTCCTCACCAAGCCACGATGCACTTGGCACTGGTGCAAACTATTTCTTTTCTTAATTCTTTTTCTCTTCTAARAATCAGTATTTCTGGTCTTTTCATCATTACTGGCTCTTCCTACCTCACTTATCATATAGCTATGAAAGTTATTTTGTTTCACTCTTGGAAGGTAGCTATTATATGGATTCTTCTAGTGCAGCACTTTTCTCCATCTCCCAATTCTGTGACATTTAAAAGGTGAAAATTGAAAAAGCTTTTTACGCAATTTTGGATTAAAAACAAATTAATCCACAAATAGGCGGTAGTCACCTGCTCTTCATGAGAGTGTAAGACCTGGGTGGGGGATGGCTCAGACAATAGTAAATTTGATGTTAATACAGCAAAGATTAGCAAATATGGAAGTTTTAAAATGGTTTTACTTCATGAAATACCAAAGGACAGGAAGGAAAACATCTAGTAAATTTGAAGTCACTTACATTTCTGCCATATGAACTTTTTCTAACTCAAATATACTTCTGGAATGTCTGATAGGTTTTATAAGATTTCTCATGTGTATGGTGAATTCTGGTAAACAATTAAAGGACTAGTTTCCAAATGTGAGTTAGTGTTATGCAAAATTAGACAAATAGCAAAAATATACAGTAGGAATTTTGAATTCCTTGGCAGAAACAAAATCTGAGCAAAAGGTCATCAAAAGGAAGCACTGGTTAACCCCTTGGTATAATAAAGATTGTATTTGAGGGTTTTGGGGGCTGGGTGGTGTTCAGTTGGTGGTGGCAACTTGGTGGCGACTTAAAACAAAGCAGCCCATGCGGGAAAGGAACATCAATCAGGTGCCGGTGAAAACACCTGTCAATCAAGGAGACTTCCTGACTAATGCCTGTCAATCATCAGGACCTGCTGGCCAATCCTGGAGTTCAGCCGACTCCCCTGACCAACTCCAACAGGACAAGAGACCCTAAAAACACCTTTTTCTGTCCCAAGCCTTCCCTTCCTGCTGTAAGCCCCATAAAAGTCCAATCTGGTCAAGCTTCCAAGAGGTTTCTCCTCAGACCCTTCTCCTGTCCATTCTGTGGGTCTGACGGAGTTCCGCCAGGGAGTGATAAAGCCTAATTAGTCTGCCCTTTTTAAATCTGCCTCCTTTGGTTGCTGCTGCCTCCCCTGATCTGACAAGGTGGGACTAATGTGTAGCATATCACTGAGGCAAACTGTGAAATTTGAAGACAAAATGCTCTTCTCCTTGGGTGGTTTCTTCCCACTTTGCTATCATGGAGGTAAATGGCAATCATTCACTGCTTTAAATGCACAAAATTAGGATGTATAGAGGCAGAGTGTAGCATAGGAATATCTCTTCCACACTCAATTCCCATAAGACTTTTGTGTTTATGGAAATAAAAAACAGATTTTTTTTACTTCTTTTTAAAATTTAAAAATGAGGAAAACAAGAAACCAGAAAGTTTATAGAGTCAGGAGTACTAAAATTTGAACATGTTACTGGAGAAGAAGAAATATTTTAAAAATTACCTTTCTGTTTTTAAGCATTTTAGAATCAGTACAGCCTGCAAAGCAGGGAGAAAAATATTCAATATCATCTCTTCCACAGACAGAAGAATATAATGAAGATGAGCATCTACAATTTTCATTGCACGGAGCTGTGAGGTTTCCCAAYTGACCTGTTCTATAAAAATGAGATTTAATATAATTATAATACTGTTGTTTTATAATTAATGCATATATCAAGATATAAATGAGATCCATAAAATATACTTACTGAAATAATTTCTTTCTTAAGAATTGTACTAAGGTAAAAATCATATATAATAAAAAGCACATTTTACAATGTACCATTTGCAATTTTTGATAGATACATATGCTTGTGAAACCATCATTGTAGTCATATTGACAAACATAATTATCACTCCCAAAAGTTTCCTTATGCCCATTTATAATTACTTTACACATGACTTTGGCTGGCCAACCTTCTGTTATTACTCATTAGTTTGGATTTTCTAAGATTTTATGAAATGGAATCACATAATATGTATAAATTCCTAGGCTTCTTTCACACAGTGGATCTTTTTTCCCATTAAATTGGGTTTTTAAAAAATTATTTATTTTAATTAGTTACAATGGATCTTTATTTCATCATTTTACGGTAAAATACCTCCATGGTTCTTGGGAAAATATTAAGGAGTAAAACATTTGGAACATGTTATAGGTGTTTGACTTTTTTCTAAAGTGGTGTGCTATTTTATAGTTCTACCAGCAATATTCAAGAAATTTGATTGTTCTCCACATTTTTCTTCAGCATTTCATATGATCTTCTATTTCCTTGAGACACTTCAATAGGGTTATAACATTTTCATTTTTGCATATTAAAAAATGTGTTTTTAATACACATTTTTCTAGTAACTAATGATATTGATTTTATTCTCATCTGGTTATTTTCCATCTGTGTATATAATTTGATGAGATATCTGTTTGATTCTTTTGTCCATTTTGACTAGTTCTTTTCTTTATTTCTAAGAAATGATAGTGCTTCATATATTCTGAAAACAAATCTTTTGTTAGATATCTGAATTTCAAATGTCCTTTTGAAGTCTATGGCTTGCTTTTTTGTTCCCTAAAGAAGGTATTTCAAAAGCAGGCTTTAATTTTCATCAAGTCCAATTTATTAATTTATTTCKTACTGGATTATGTATTTGGTATTATATGTAAAACTCTATGTCAGATTTTATTGAATACTTTCTCTGCATCTACTGAGAAGAACATTTTATTTGTCCTTCATTCTCTTAATGTAATATATTGCACTTATTGATGTATATGCACCAGACTCTCCTTGAATTCCTATAATAAATCCCATTTGATCATATTGAATTATCTTTTTTCTGTGCTATTGCATTCAATTTTTTATTTTGTTCAGAATTTCTATAGTTTTCTGTTGTATCCATGTCTGGTTTGGGCATCTGGGTAGTTTGTCCTCATGGTATAGTTTCTCTTTAAATTTTTTGGAACAATTTTTAAGAAGATTGGCATTAGTTCTTAATAAAAAGTTTGGTAAAATTCAGCAGTGAAGTCTTCTCAWCCTGGACTTGTCTGTTTTGAGAAAATATTATTAACTGATTTAATCTCATTACTTGTTATTTTTTGTATCCTCATGGCTCAATTTTATTGTAATATGTGTCCAGGAATATATTCATTTTTTTCTGGAACTTTGAAAAATAGTTGGTGCATAGTTGTTTATAATAGTTACTGATAATATTTGTATTTCTATGATATCTGTTCCAATGTCTCCTTTGGATATCTAATTTTATTTATTTGCATCTCTCTCTCTCTCTCTTTCAGTATACTGAAAGTTCTGGCAGTTTTTTTTTCAAAATCTTTGTGTTTCTTTGATTTTTTTAGTCTCATTTTCATTTTTTTGTGCTCTGATCTTTATTATTTATTTCTACCATTTTTTAAATATATTTTTTAGTTATAGATTAACATCATACCTTTATTTCATTTATTTTTATTTTTTATGTAGTGCTGAGGATCACACCCAGTGCCTCACATTCTCTAGGTGAGGACTCTACCAATTGAGCTATAGGCCCAGCCCTATTTCTACCAATTTTGTTCACATTTGTTGGTTTATTCCTGCTATTCTAGGTCTTTTTATTGGAACGTTAAATTGTTTATTTGAAATCTATGTTTTTGATACTTATTGCTATAGACTTCTCTCAGTACAATTTTTACTCTATCCTATAGGTTTTGGAATTGTTTTTCCAGTTTTTCATTTGTTTCAAGAAACTTTTAATTTCCCGTATAATTTATTTATTTATTGTCCATTAATTGTTCAGAACAATGTAATTTACTTCCCATGTATTTGGACATTCTCTTTATTTTTATTATTGATTTCCAGTTTTATTTCATGTACTTAAAGAAGATATATATAATTTCAATTTTTAAAATTAATATAAAATTTCTTGAGCTGTATTTTGTGACATAACAAAATACATGGGGTCTAGCCTAAATAGTGTTGTCTCTGATAAGAAGAATGCATGTTCTGTATATGTTAGATGAAATGTTCTACAGTGTCTGTGGTATATAGTATAGCTTATTTCAATTTTAATTTTTAAAAATATTTCTATATTTTATTCCAATTTGGTATATAGTTTACAAGAATTTCTGTTGATTTTCTGTCTACATGATCTGTCCACTGGTGAGCATGGGTTATTGAAGTCCCCAACTATTATTATATTGGAGTGCATCACTCCCTTTATATCTAATAATATTTGGTTTACAGAGTTAGGTGGTACAGTATTGTATGTATATACATTTCAGTTRATATAACCTTATGCTCAGTTGATCCATTTTCATTACATAGTAACATTTATATTTTTATGGTCTTTTCCTTAAAGGTTGTTTTATCTGATATGAGTAGGGCTATTCCTACTTGTTTCTGGTTTTCATTTGTGTGGAAACCAAATGTGACTTTCCCAGAAAGATGAGTTTCTTGCAGGCAGATTATAGTTGGGATTCCATTCTATTATTTTTTTAAAATTTATATTTTATTTTTATTATTAGTTGTTCAAAACATTACAAAGCTCTTGACATATCATATTTCATACATTTGATTCAAGTGGGTTATGAACTCCCATTTTTACCCCGTATACAGATTGCAGAATCAC